ACGAGCAAGTGCTGGGTGGATGTTTCACGGCGTCCATTTTTCACGACCAAATTTCTTGCAATCATTTGAGAACAAGATTGAGCAGTGAACTTGTCCTCGCCGCTGGCATAACGTTTTAGGGTTGCCCGTGGAGACTCAAATAAATTTCTAAATAAAAATAAGGAAGAGAACCCCTTCATAAACATTCTGTAACTTCAGCAGAGAAAAGTTATCTTGACAAAAATATGTGGGATACAGTTTTACGGCGCCTATTCCTGTGCTTAACCAATTTTGAGGCAAATCGGCGACCATGAAAAGAAAATGCCCGAGTACCATTAAAGGAAAAACAGAAATGATGCATACCTACAACAGAAAAAGTTAGAACGACCACGGGCAGGAAACTCTAGTGAGGCTCTCGGAGTGATTCCCTGCAATGGGCCTGCGCGGACCACATAACAAGATTGGTCACAGCTTGCAGCCGTAAGGTGCTTCATACCTTGAAGTTCCAGAAGCAGCTGGAATTGAAACCAAAGTGCATTTCATTTCTATGCAGAACAGAGAGTTTAATAACTAGTATGCATTCATTAGGATTAGGTCATAGAGCCATGAATGCACCGACTTTTCATTGCAGCACTATATAACCAGTGTTAACCGTGCCGGACAACACTTGAAACCGGAAGCATTATTCCAAACTATCTCAGCTTAAAGTTAACCACGGCTGAAGCTTCAAGCCATCCTCGCAAATTTAGTTCGGAAAGCAAGTCATGTGACCTTGTCGTTGGACGCCATGGTACGTCGAGCTTTTCATCATGTGTCACACTGTTTTTGCTGCAATACCTTGTAGTGTCAAACGTGGTCCAGATTAAAGATGTACAAAGTATAGACGTTTATGAGTGGGGCCCTGGCCTAGTCTTCAGCTACCTTGCGAGGAAGGATGTTCAAACCAGGATGTTTGCTGCGTGTAATTGCATGACCAGCTTGTGCCCAGCGATTCTTGGAGCTGAGTACATGACCTCGATAGTGCCGTTGTTTGACAAGCATATTTATGAACGTTAAACATGACTGACGTAGAGAGAGAGCCTCATCAACTAATGAATTGGGATACCTTACTGAATACTGATATATTAACTAAATACAAAACAACTACTTGGCAGGCATTATATTTTTCAACAAGCTGGGTCGACTCCTCATTTAGTCAAAGTAGTTGATGCGTAGTAGCACAATACAAGCAAAAATATGCCTTACAATTCTTTTTGCACCCCAAAATTATGTGTTTTTAAAGGTAAGAAACACAAGGTACTTAATTTAGAAAGTGCCTCAGCTGTACGAATGCATATACAGTAAGGGCACTCGCCAAGCCTATTCTCTTCAACTCTGACCAGGTTAAGCCGAGTTAGAGTATAGAAGTACACGCTCACTGACAGAATGAGAAAGGGAGGGAGAAGTCTTACTTGTTCCGCCACCAGCCCCCCTGCTACCTTCGATAACGTTTCAGCGTCTCATGAGCCTCGAGTGAGCACGTCCTTTCAAAGCGGGGAGAAAAGTAGAAGCGCGTGCTGGAGGAATTCCCTTTTTGTCATTGGCTATACTACATATTTTTAGTGCAACAAATTTTTAAGTGAGTGAAAGTATCGCAAATATGCAGTACAGCTTTGACCATAATAAAGATTTCTGATAAAGATGACAACAGCGTATGCGTATTGCCATCCGCCATTTTCCAAATGAGTGCTCCCGCCTATCGGAACATCAACACATGTGGTGCGTAGAGTGGGTCCAGGACTGAGAGGCTAGAAAACAAAGCGCTCACAAGGCTTGTCTGGCCCTTTGGACCATGCGGGTACATTCGTCGAAAATCGCCGATTTCTAGCCAAATTTTTTTAGAATATGCAACTCTTGTCCACGCTCAAGGTAGACCACTGAATCGCGGTTCCCCCATATTGTGCGATTCCTCCTTCAAACTGCGGTTTAACTTGCAAATGAAGTCTGTTGTGCTGCGACAGGCGTCCATGCTGCCTGCTTCAGAGGAAAACCACTATTCGTGTTGAAGACGGCATTCCAACACGTACAGGTAACGGCAAACTGACTAAAATTAAATTTATATCATTCAGTAGACACAGATAGGCTCGCAAAAGTGACGACACCATTATTGTCGCTGTTGGTTTTACTCTTGCATACGAATAAAAGTGACATCTTATTTTCTCCGATGTGCAGTAAAACTCCTTATCTTCGTGGCGCCTATTTCTTCTCGAATCGGTCACAGAGGACATAATCGCGGCCACTAAATTTCGCAAAATTAAAGGACGTGAAAATTAACGGCTAGCCAACATTAGGGGGTTTACAGTCCTTCCGTGTGTCACATGATGTTAACATTTCAAATAGGCTGAAGGTATTGGCTTAAAAAAAGTTGGCCTATGCAAAAAACCAAAACAAAACAAAAAAATGCCCTTCTCCAGGTTAGGCACGCGAGGTTCTTTTGTACTCCTTAAAAGGTGGCAGATTTGTTTCGGCAGAGCTTTTGGTAAAATGGAGTCAACTAATTTGTGCTGCATTGTAAAGGCTAGAATGGCTTCCACGGAGCTTTAGCCCAGCATTGTCGCGAGGGCATGTGGTTTAGTGTTACGTCTCGTTTGCATGGTCTAGAAACACTAGCGCTGACGGAGTTAGAGCACTCCGGAATAATAACACACTGGCTATAAAAGCATTGAGAGATGCGCACATGCGAACAGTGCATTTCTTAAAAGTGGATTCGAGCAAACGTAAAACATGTGTAATTACGGCAGCCATACTTGCCATACTTGCCTTTCTCAAGCATGATCACTTGTCCCTCGGCAGCACCATCCAGTAAGAAGCACCAGCAACACGCCCATGAGACAGTGCCGATTCCTGGATTGAATGACGACCAACCTCAGGCCTTGGAGGGAGATCTGAAATACTGCTTTAGACCACATGTTGCATCTGGCGGGGCAGGGGCTAAAAGTAGAAATGAGCAAATTTATCTGAAGCGATACATTCCTATAGCATAAACTCTAGGATAGCAGGATTTTTTAGGTCAGTCATGTGTCTTAATTAGACACAGAAATGGTTGGTTTATATGATGAGCCAGCAGCCCCCGTTTTGCACAAATAAAATGGACAGGGTGAAAACAATCGCTAGTATGAGTTGCGTCCCTAAACTCATCAAACAGAACTTTCTATCTGTTATGACATATTGGGGAGAGGAGCCGAAACATTTGACGCGAAGTTTTCTTTTCTCACAAAGACGCAGAACCGTGTATCTTCGTGACGCTTTTCATTGAATGTGCGAAACATCCCTACCTATTCCTATACTCTGTTTCATACTTATCGTACAACGCTGTTAAAGGTACTGGCGCGAGCGCGTAGCTTCGTCTGTGGTTTTGTTCGCGCGAGAACGCGTGCAAACGATCAACGAGATCACGCTCCGTCCTTTCGCCAGTAGCTTTGACAGCGTTGCACGCTAAATATGAAAAAGCGTATAGGCGCCGAACAAGAGCAGCACGAGAGAGCGCCCGGAGACAGCCGTGGTTCATACGTGTGACGTCACGACAAAGATGATCAGCTGCGACCACGGTGGCTGCGACCGACATGCTTGATTGTCTCTATGATGGAGGTTTTTGTAGTTGCATTCTAAATTCAACACCGTCGAAGTTGATAGACTGATATCGTTCTTATTTCCGCCGATTAAGCAGCATTTAGTACAAAGCGTCCCTGTCCTTTTATTTATTTCGGTGATCAAAGTGTAGCCCGACGTGGCAAGGTCACAACCAGCCGAGTAGCATTGTTCACTTTCGGACGGATTTCGCTTCCAAGCGGTTGTCTCCCCCATCGTGGGATAAAATCATTTTATGATAGACTTTCGAAGATTAGCCAAACTGGGATTAATTATGCGTTCTTTAACGAAAATAAGAGTCATCTCAGGTTGTCAATATTGGCGGTGGTGTTTCGAGAACGCGAAGACACCAAGCTTTCATCTTACAGAACCAAACTTGTCAACGTCGACTTGAACAGGCGCCATCAAATTTGTCGTTCACAACTTATAATCCTGACCCTGATGTCAAAGGTATGAACTATAAAAGGACGTCACTGAACGCGCCTCTCGCTTGGAAGTCTGTCATGACCGCTTGTGAGTTCATGGAACGCGAACCATTTTAATTCCGGAATCTATAGAACCACTATTTCGAAAATTGCACGCTGTGCTGTTCCTCGTCATCACTCAGTCGGAACGCCTCTAGCAGGAAACAGGAGGACGGAGAGGGGGTCATTCCACCCCCAGTGGCGTCGAAAGAGGGGTCAAAGGGCGTAAATGTGTAAGGGGGGGGGGGGGGGGGGGGGGGATCGCCCCAGCTTTTGACAATAGCAATTCAGAGACTTAAAATAAAAAAAAGTAAATACGTTTGGAGTCCTCTGTAACGTCGAATTATAGCGCAGCTCTTGAGGAAAAGGAGGGGAGGGTATGCCCTTCCACCTTCCTCCGTACCCTCGCCTCCTCCTCTCCTGCTCCCCTCCCATTTAGCGGGGAAACTGAATCGGTGTTGGGATCACGTGACGTCAATTTCCCCGCTACATTTAGCGGGGAAACGTCCCATAATGCAACACGCGCGGTTATGCCAACGGCGGCGCCACTAAAGCCCGAAACCGGTGCTTGAGAGCTGGGTTCTAAAAATTGGGGGAAGGGATATACCCCTTCTTCACAATCATTACCCCCCTCTTTCTCTCTCCCTCCCTCTCTCCCAAACAGTTTGTACGACCTTTCCTGTCTCCTATATGTGTGCGTGTGTCTGATGGTCGTACCTTTTTTTTCTTTTATTTCCCTTCCTTAGGTTAGTTTCTCACCATCCCTTGTCGCTCCCTCTTTTCTCAAACACTACCGATGTCAATCAATACCACCTAGAAGACAAGGCCTGCGCATGACGTTTCATTAGTAGATCCCCGACCCGCCCCAAGCGGCAAACACGCTAAGCTCGACGAGAGTACGGTGCGTCAACCTCGTTGGGCGCGGCGGGTGCGGCTGGTGCGGCTGCGGCATCGGCGGCACGTCATCGAAACGAAACTTGTGCGGCTGGCAGTTGGTGCAACAGTGGACAGTGCGGCGAAGATGAATCGCTCAGCCTAGAACAGGAATCATCACATCGACGGGTGCTTCGTTTTGACGTTGGTCTTGCTCTGCACGGATCGTGTCTATTTTCTTAGTCTACGTTCAGCATCGTTTACAAGGCTCGGCAAGGCTGGCGTGGGTTCCGCAGTGCTATGGCAGCAACGGTAGGAAGACTACCATTTATTTCGCCTCCCTTTTTCTCTCTATTCCTTACGTATCCTTTCTCTTGCCAGGGAACCAGCGTCGTGCTGAGGAGTTACGGAAGCAATTTCTCTTGAGGCTTGCATCACCGGCCGCGCGGTCGATTGCACCCGCACAACCCGGTACGTATGGGAAACACGGTATGTAAACTAAAGCACTGCTCGGGCCTACTTTTTGAGGCCCGGCCGGGCCCTGGCCCGCTGACTCTCGACCCGGCCCGATGGGATGCTTACTTAGTCAGGCCCGGCCCTGCCTGCCTGAACAGGCCCGGCCCGGTGTGAGCTAGGCCAAGGTGTGCCCCATCTCTTAAATGCAAAGGTGCCCTGCGGAGGTGTTAGGGTAGTTAATTACTAATTTTCATGAAAGACGCTGTCATATCGCAGACACGTGGTGAACATTCGAAAGTTTACACAAATATAAAGGCATATCTTTAATAGCAAGATGCAGTTTTTTTGTTGTCGTTTTTTTTCTTCAAAAGTTTGAAAAGAAAGGGCAAGACAATCGTGCTGTCCCCTGTGACTGCAGATTGCCCTCGTTTTCTTGCCTGCTGGTGGTTGTCCCGCTATGCTGATGGAATCCCCATAATTCTATCTTTTTGCGGGCTTAGGCCAAAACAGCTTTGCTTATTTCAAAGATTATTTTAGTGGCATTGTAGCGAGATGGCCCTTCCGTTTTTTCTCTCTTTAAAATCTAAACTATCAGTGCGCTAGCATTTTCTTCTCAATGTTTTAGAAAGTATGCTGCATCATTGCGCGAGCCCGGCCTGGGCCCGGAAAGAATTCGTGCTACCCTGGCCGGGCCCAGGCTTTCGGGTTGGCCCGGGCCCTTGCAGAGCTAACGTACATTCTTTGTTGTTGATGTGCCTACCGATGTACAGTCGGGGACAAAAGTCTCCAGGATGCGCGAGCTGTGACTGAAACGAATTGCTCTGCCATCTGGCGGCGGGTCGCCTGGTTTCGAGATCACACAGAAGCGCATGCGTGTCCTACTGTGCCTTCAAACGTGTGTTTTCCTGCTCTTGTGCGGCACAACGCCTAACTTGCAATCGGGCGCGTGGTACCGCCTCTAAGATTGCGCTTGCGGCTGACCAGAGCCTGCTACGCATTTCGAAACTGGAGATACTGCCTGCAGCATTGCGCCGTATTTCGCCGTGTCAGCGCACTTTGGTTTATATATAAACCGCTAAGCTGAGCTGCCGTGACTTCTTGCTTTATAGGTGCCATGTCAGTAAGCGCGGCCGAATCCGAGTTTGGCGCCATGCCGCAGAAGAGCGGGAAAACGCATGTTTGCAGGCACAGTAGGACACTCATGCGCTTTTGTGTGATCTCGAAACCAGGCGGCCCGCCGGCAGATGGCAGAGCAATGCGTTTCAATTGCAGCTCGTGCGTCCTGGGGACTTTTGTCCCCGACTGTAGCTTCAGCGTATGCACTATTCCACGTAACATGATGTATGGAAACCTGAGATGGCGCTAGGAGAGAGGAAACTCAAAAGTAGAAGGTGCACAGAACGAAGATACACAGGTGCGTAAAACAGCAGTTAAGCCGTCGCTGGTTTTGTCTAATCTCCAGTAATTTAAGTGTTTTACAGGGGGAAAGTGGGCCAAATTAGGTCTACTGCACATGTGAAAGGGGGCGAAAAGCTAGAAGAGCAGTTTGGTGACGTTTTGCGCTTAGCTCTGCCCCGGCACATGCCGATAAATGGTCAGGACTAAACAGCAGGCTCGTTTGATTTACCTGCACCGGTGCAGAAAACTGTAGCGCGGTGTACTTCTGGTGTAGTACAGCAAGTATGTCGCCCTACACTTTTCTGCACTGGTGCAGGAGGAGCAAGTAAATGAACAAGCCTAACATCTAGGCATCACTAATGGCAGTCATGCTAATGCGGCATCCGTGAGTTTTTTTATTGCTGTTTTTGTCGTGCTGGGTACTTGCCGAGTTCAGAAAAATGATACTTTTGTGACTAGTATCCTTCTCAATCGAAGGGCAATGAAAGCAAGCTGCGTTTTGGATGCACTGCGTGCTTAAATGACGGCGTGTTGCTGTTCAAATTTCTGAAGGATGCCAAACTGCAAAAGATGTGGATCCGGCTAATAAACGGGGATAATTGAAAACCATTCCTCCATTGTCTGCTCGAGACATTTTGACGATTGTTAGATCAAGACGACAAGAAGGCTTTTCTAAAAAGAGGGAGCACTTGTCCATTGTTGCAACTCAGGGGTTCTTCTGTGGCTACCAGCCACAGAAAAGCGCCTGCCAATCGTACCGGTAAATTCCATTTGTTCAGCTTGCCTTACCTTTAAAGACTTAACCAACTCTTCCCTCTATTGGGTTCTTGTGATCCTTGGGTGATGAAAAACAATGTGACAGACTTGATCACAATTAACCAAACCGCCTTAGCATTGCAAGACAAACTTTAGCCGAGAACTCTACACTTTTAAGGCGGAAGCGCATCTTGAAATTAGTACTTGCCCCTGTGGTCCACGGTTAACAGGCGGTCACCGGTTGGCACCGATTTCGTTTCGAACATGACAGTTTGTGTGATCACAACAACTTGTGTAGGGCAATGAGTTTGGCGGTACTCGTCAAACATGGGCTCTCAGGGTAAATTAATTTACTTAAAACGACAGAACATACGCTTTGCGCTGTTTCCGCTCATGTTTCTTGAACTCTACAGCCTTGTCTTTGAAGTAGCAGAGTTTATCCGAGGGCTGCTGGGAAGCAGCCATTCCTATGGCCAAGCAGAGAGCACAAAGTCGTCACGCCACTTTGTTTACTCGCGATAGTCCCCAAGATCCCGCCTGAACCTCTCCTCCAATCGGAGCTCGGTGCCGTGGCGTCACGGCAGCCGCCTGCACGAAAGAGCAGACGACTTGCTTGCCGTACGGAAACTACAAGTTCTGGGGAAAGTACTAGCAGGAAAACTACCTGGTCGTGAATGAAAAAGCGCCAGTGTCTGGCGTTTTTCAAGTTTTTACAATTAATTGTGTACGTCGGACATGCATGGTTATTAGAGATGGCCCAGGATGTCGGAAAAAGAAAGCATACAACACAAAACTCTGCGCCCTTTGCCCATTTATGTGAGGAAACAAAGTGTCGCAGCAAAGCACGCATTATATTCAAAGAGTAAGACTTCACCATTTTCACTTCCTTTAGCGTGGGCCCACAATCGGGCTCAAATCTTTTGCCGATATGCGTCCCTTCAGTACTCTTCAATCAATATCATGAAAATAATCAAATCCCTAATGACGAGCCAAAGTTCTGAAGATTCAATAGGCATTTGTTCTTTGACAAACGCGGCCGTCAGATGCTTCGTTGGTTAATGTGGCCATTTGGCACTGCAACGCAACAGCATGCTTACATGGGATTAAAAAATATGAAAGGACAAAGCAGAACACACAGCTAAATACTGTACATGGTGAGGTATAAATGTGCTATGGCAAAACGTATTAGCATGTGTTTGTCAGCGGGCATTGCTGGTGGTCGTTATTGTTTATCGATGACATGCGTCTCTAAGAAACTTGACTAAGCACACCCGGCATATCTCCAACGAAATTCGCGACTCCAGCGACCTATAGGGACGCCACTATCGGGCAAATATGGCGGTCGAATCCAGGTCCTGCCGTGCCATGTGCCAGCTCAACGCACAATGCTGCAGCACCAGCAAGCAAGCATTTGACTCCAAATGGCTTGCCTCGCATCTTATCTTCCATGTTTCGAACCTGTGGTGCTGTGGTTGGGTAAGCGAACTTCCAGAGGCCTGACTTTCTTCGAGGAAACTAGGAAAGGACTGCCACCTGTCCTACAACGGTGCTGATGAACGTTTATGAACGCAGAATGTCTTTCTCACGCGGTTCCATAGGTCGCGTGCAGAGTAACCTTGATCACAAGGCGATACTCTGGTTACGACACAGTCATTGGTAGAACTGTTCTGTCGAGCAAACCATCGACAACATGTAATCACGGAAGCCACAAGAGACGAGCGGAAATCGCGAAAGGACCTGTTCCGGCCAGCTCAGTGTTTTCCCGCTAGGTGCCGTTCGTTTTGCTGGACTCGCGAATTTGTCGGATACAGTTCACCTGTCTTTATACACAGTTTCAAGCGCGTACACACACACAAAGAAACATTGCATGACTGGGTACAGCATGCACATTCTGCATGATCCAGTATCAGAACCTAATATTCTGAGGGATCTTAAATAGGTATGTATATGATTCCGGTACTCCCTCTGTCTGTGTCCATTTGTCGCGTAAATCGGTGTTGATTGCCAAAAGTTGTTGCTCAACTTTATGTAGCTCATTTCATATGCGTTTAAAATGTTTCATGCGCTAGTGAAGGAGTGAGTACGGGATCAACCATACCATGTGCACCACTCATTTAGTCCTCTTGCTCGTCCAGGCTGCGGCTCGCCTCCAGCTTCCGACCCCATCGCTCCTGCTCAGTTGTGACAACCCTGTTTTGGTGCGCGACTTCAACGACTGTCATGGTGAAGCAGACCAATAACAGGAGTGTGCGGCCTATCGGCCACCGATCTGTACCAACCAGACTGTACGGACCACCGATTTCTTTTCCTTGCATGTTCAGGTTGGTCCAATACTCTCGTAAAATTGTAAAGAAGCAACATGCGTTTACTGGTGTTCCTATGCCCAGAAGTGCCTTGTAAAACTGTTTGGGACTGTTGATACGGTAATCCTCCTCCTATCCGGTAACATTAAGATTATACCGGTCCGATGAATGAACAACTCAGACAATTCAATAAGATGCACAAGATGCTGGTAGAGGTTGATACACACGCGCTTAAAATAGGTCGGGCTGAATCAGGAATACTGGCATCACTAAACAAGAAATAACGATCCCAAGGACCTATTCAAACTGCCGTGACAGATATTATTGCTATATTGGCCGAGCTTGAAAGTAGAACTACTGCTCTGGTTCGAGAAGTTTGCGTGACTAGAAGATTGATAGAAGTAGTCCAACAAGAAGATTGGGCCCTGCGAGCACATCTAAATGAGGATGACGATCACTGTCGCTGTGGCGACCTAATCTTTTATGGGATATCTGACCACTTATCTGAAAGTTTGGCACAAACAGAGGAGGTAATTTTGGACATATTAAGGTAGTTATTGAATCTTCAAGTAACTCATGGAGCTATTATTCGGGCCCATGAGATGGGTAGTGAGTGATGTTCAGTTATCACCAAATGGGCAACATACACACTAAAAGTCCAAATTCTTCTGCCCAGGTCATCATTTAGATCTAGCCCCAGCACCGTGTGTGAGGACCTCTCAATTGAAACATGTCATGCATGAAAAAAAAACTGATAGAATTTGCCAAAGAATAAAATGTCACTTTCAAGCTTCGATACAGTAGCATGTGCATTAACAATAAATACTGTGTGTACAATCCCATTAATGACAATGTGCTTGAAACAGGTCCCTCAGTCTTGATTTCCGAAACCCAGAGTTTGTTTTGTGCTGGGGATCCACCTGGAATATCGAATTTAGAATAGCAGGCAGAGAGGGGAAGAGTATGCCATCCTCTTGTCTCAGATGTATCGGGGATTCTTACTAATAATAGAAGCATTATTAAAAGGTGAATGGACTTGCGTTTCATTATTGACTATATATGCAAGTGGGTGTTATTGTCTTAACTTAAACTTGGCTATCTGTACAGAAGTGAGTAACTGTGAACTTTTTGGTGGGCCTAAGGAATCTCTCTATGACCACCGTTCCTTGTAAACTCCTTGAGCATGTTATCTTGTTCTCACAATGGGGGGCAGGGGGATCTAGTCCCCCTGAGAAATTTGAGATATTTATAGCAAATAACTTCAAAGGCCAGGCATGTGTTTGTCACCTGGAGCGTAATTTTGAAATGGGTCCAGTACTGCAGAAAAAAATGAAGTAATACGGAGGTTGTTTCTAATCACCAGGAAGAATAACTATAAACTTTGGAGAGCAGACATATGATCTTGGCTTGTGCCCATAGCTTGGTGTTCGTTCAAAAGCAATGATAAAGTTTTGCGGCACCTCAACCTATGTATACACGAACTCAACTCTGATACGTCACGGCGCTTCGGGCGCACTTGTCTGGGGCTGTAGGCAGAAGACCGCATGTGTGATGCGTATTCCTGCGTTGTTTTGAAAGGGACCAGGCAAAAACCTGCCTTCTCATAAAAATGCCGTGACTGGGGCTGTACCAAAAGAGTCGAGAAAGTTTGGAAGATCAGTGTTCATGTGCTCGGTTCGTCCGAGAATCTGGGTATGTGCCATGAAAGGGCAAAACCAGACGCCGTCGGACCACGATTGCTTGGGCAGGGAGCACTTTGGGTTGAATTCTCGGATACTTGGGTCATCCGATTCATTTGCTTTGTTCCAACATGAACGCCGGAAAAGCGTGAGGTTGTACAGGACCACCTTCGGACAACAATCAGTGCGTCTTCACGTTGAAACGGCTGCCTGATCGTTCAGAATGTCGTCTGCTCTTACAAACGTTTCTGCTTGTCGTCTGCTCTTTTAGACGACACCGGCCCATTGACCAAACGTTGGGCCGATACTTGCGATAAGAAGTAGGTGCAGGCCTCAAAAAAAGACTTAGGTCAAGGAGATGTTGATCATTGTTACCAGTGGCCACCACCGACTTGTTATGCCTGATTTACTTGGTCCAATTCTGCTTGCTATTTTCAGTATCGATGTCGACCATCTCAGCTACGGTTCACGCTTTTGCAGCCCGAGCGGCGTCGCGACTGAAAATTGCGAACGAAATCTCATCATGCGAATCGGGCTGTAAGCGTACATACTGCCGCGTCCACGCGTAATGAATCGCCACATGTCATATTATTCACGCAAAGTTTGGCGGTGTAACGAGCCTCGGTAATTTCGCTGAGGCTGCTCAAGATAGTCAGACATTGCCAGGAAGACGTAGAATCAACAATTCGAACGCGAGAAAGGGCAGGGGGACTCGAACCGACGCCTACAACATCGCATTTCAATGGTTTGTTTATGGGCGACGGAGAGCTTCTTGCCCACACTCCATTGCGCATGCACGGCGCCGGTGGCTTCCGCTAGGGCCACTCCGGTTTGTTTCTAAACATGAGTTGGTGTTTGAGCAGCCGGAGGCATGCAAATAATGCTACCATGTTTTGTAAATAAGTAAACCTGGAACAAGGCTTAAAATCATAATCAATCATTATGTTCAAGGCATCAATGGCCTGGCAATGAAAACAAATACTGCTGCACCCTTTCACTCTATATGGGCAGCAATAAGGAAGAAAAGTGCCGTAGCATATAGAAGAAATGGGCCGCCAACACGGATATTCATGTCAATGTCTTCTGAGAATTGGGATTTGAAGGAAGTGCTAAAAGGAGGAGGCTTTTAGGGCTGGGCTTTTGAGGTCGGGCGCTTTCGTGCACCACTCCGACAGAATATGTGGTGTAACCCTCTGCGCGAAAGTTTGAGGACTAATGCGAAGGTGTGCAAGTGCTTGGCATTTTACTTTTTACCATTGGACAGTATTTTTTATTTAAGCCTCACATGCCCCATTGAAGCTTCATTCTGTATTAAAAACTCCAACAGAAATACTGAAAAAAAAATACTGTAAACGACTTAATTTTCGCGAATCGTCTGCGAATAACGAAAAATAGGTCCCACGAACAATTCCGGTAAAATGTAAACATATTGGAAACTATATTGAGATCCTACCGCATCGCGAAAATTAGAGCCCGCAAACTATTCCAAAACTTCAGCTTTAACCTAAATCGCGAAATATTGAGCCCGCGAAAAATATGTCGTCTGCAGTATATCTGAGGTTGCCAATAAATGCACAAAACATCAAAGTAGCGATTAATATACCTCTATAGCTGTTTTGTATTTGCCATCTTCATGTGCACTCATAATTTGTTATGTCACAATAGTTTCTTGTTGTTAAGATATTTATTTACCACTTCCTTACTTTTTCAGTGGGCGAGTCTCGAAAACCAGATGCCACCGGGTGTGGATACTTGGGACAACATTGGAACAGTGAACTTGAAACACCTCTGCAGGAATCGGTGCATGAAGCAGTTTGTGATATTTGGGAACTTCAAAAGCCACATTGTTGATACTTGGGAGACGGTTAGCAAGGTGGGTGTGCATGGCATGAAACAAGGTGTGTTTTCTGTATATATCGGATGTCAAGGGGATCAATAGAGGTGTTGAGTTCAAAACTTTCTGCGAACAATTTGATTTTATAAATCCTAATATGTATAGGGTCTTGGGTGGCCAAAGGCATGGTAGCACTTTTTAGATGAGGACAAAAGAAGGAAAGACAAGACAGGCACGAGCTCTTTTGTCCACGTCTAAAAAGCGCTACCATGCCTGTGGCAACCCAAGACCAATACCAACTAGCCATTCAACATTGATATATAGGGTGGCATGAATAGAGTTGTTGACTGTAAATTGTGTCAGAAAAATTGATAGCTGCACGTGGGCAGCTGAAAGTTTTGTTAATGGTGTATTTTCACAGTGCACGCTAACTTGTCAGATTTCAAAGCGGAGCTTCGTTTCTGTAAGAAATTAGAACAACATTTGTCTAAATTAAGATGACGAATGCTGATGCGGAGAAACAAGCCACAGCGAGAGCCACATTTGCTTTATTGACGAGAGATGGCGCGGCGCAATTCATCTTGGAGAGTGCTCTTGTTCCCACCGATTTTGTCTGCGTGGCGTCTGCTTTATTTCACCAATCGCCTATACTTCACTTTATTTGTGTTAAATCTCACTGTGCACACTTCATATACAACACAGGCAGAAAGACGAATCAAATGAATTTTACTGAATGTGGCCATCACGGCTAATGGCCCCAGTGGCTCAGATTCGAACCGCTGGCCTATGGATCCCCAGTTGACGGTTTAGAATGCCGGCCGAGGTTCCCACCATAATACTGATGCGTATTGTGAAAAGGGCACCGTGTAATTCAGACTTGTGCTGCAGGTGTCTTTTGTTGGTGTGGCACGTAAACCCCCCAATTTTGTTTTTTTTGCATCACGGCTAGTCGCCAAATCTTCAACAGTTGTGCCATCTCATGTTAGCAGTAGCAAGCACGGCTCTCGCTGTTCGTCTACAGCAGCGTCCGTCGTAGAAATTGTGGGCACCCTGGCGGCTTCCCAGTCCCGTCCAGTTGCCCGACTACGGGCCACAGGTGGCAGACTTTCCCGCAGGGCGGTGGAGTCAAGCCGGCCACGCGCACATCGCGCGCACCGCCTTGATAAGGCGGATCAGAGGCAGTGCACAGGCAGTCGCTGACCAGACTTAAGCGCCCCGGTAACGATGTTAGTGTATTGACCATCTCATTCATGTCCAATTAAATGTATTTTTTTCTTGGAGCCATTCGCTCTGTGTTATTCGTCCGGGTCGAGTATGCAGCAAGCAAACCGACCATAAAATTTACAGAAATATTCTAATTTCTTACAGAAATGGAGCTTCACTTTGAAATTTGACAAGGTAGCATGCACCACCAAGAGTATTGACCGAAGTTTGAGGTATGTACTTGCAGGTTCCAATTTTTCTGGCTCAGTTTACTGCCTGCACTCTATTTATGCCACCTTATACCTTGCGTATAGCGGCAGCTTAACAGGATAATTTTGCAGTTCACCCTCATTGGAGTGCAACTCGTATTCTCAAGGCACTGATGCACATCTGGAAGAATCCTCCTGCTTCAGGGTTTAAACCCATGACCTCTCCACTACTAGCATGGTATTTCCATTAGCAAAGTTATGAAAAGGTCCTGGGTTTAAACCTTGCAGCAGGCAGATTTTTATATGTGTGTGGCACTTTTTCTTCAAAATGGTATTTTTGGGCATCAAAATTTACCCCTTAACGTTGTGACCAAATGAGCACTTCCCACGACATTGGTAGTTTTAATGACAGCCTTTTGAGTCTAAAAGAAAAACAGCAAAAACCAGAGACCCCCTGTTTGCGGTAACAGTGTCACGCTCTGCAAACCAGTGCCTATAGGGTGCTAGTTGTACTTTACTCAGGGGAAGTGTAAAATTATCCCATCATGCTTTTACTCCACTTCTGAGATTTTTAGACAATCTTTAAGCTTTTTATCAGCCTTAAGGCCTGTTCACACATGCAGCGGAGCGCTACAAGCATAGCGCTGACCTCGCGCTAAGCACGTGCCGACGGGAGCGTTCACCAGCTTTGTATCGCACCGTCAAAACTGTTGCTCAGGCCAGACGATAAGTACCTGACGGCACGTGAGCAGCGCTACATCAGCGCTTCGCTGCATGTGAGAACCGGCCTTTATAGGAAAGCCTAAAAACTGTACAGAGGCATGTTAACTTTTAGAGTTTTTTTTTTATATGCTAGAAGGGCTTTGTACGGCACTGGGGTGAGTTCGGAAGGTATCGGTGGCAATTTTGGAAGCCTCTCAGATCTATCGATTGTAAATTATTTTTTCGCCTTCAGATCAAACCATGGCACTGCCCTACGGTTGGAAATGTGAACAGCTGCTTGCTGAGGGAGAACTTCGAGCTTTTCTATAGCTGGCTTGCCAAGCAGCTGCCGGTATGTTGGGGTCGCGAATGATGTAAACTTTCTCTAACTCGCTGCAGTTTTTGATTGAAAAATTCAGTTTTGTTCCTCCCAGAACCTGAAGTGACCTTCTGTTGGGTCCCTAACACCGGCTTCTAGAGTCTTAAAATGGTCTTCGGGAATCCCTGTCTCAACTGCGCCAATGTCTATCTTGAATAGTATCGGAGTCAGTTCTGAACGAGTATTATTGGCTGCCACTTTGAAGCTTGGGAGTTCGAGGCCATGCCAAGGAATTCGGCTCTTGCTTACCATTGGTTCTTGTGGCTAGATTTGAGGCAGTCATTTTATGTCCTTTTGAGCAAAGTCCTTCCTCTTCTTTAGTGACATTCCTGAGAGAAGACTTCAACCAATGAACTGCTATAAATTGTTTTCTTTTTTAACAACCTTGGCACACCACATCTTTTTCTAGACAACTCGCCCGAGGGTGTACTTCATATTGTAGTGATTGCGCTGGCGAGCTGGTGGATGTTAACCATTTTGTTCTTAGCCCGAGACTGAGGCAGGAAAAGAGGAAAGTTTCAAAGTAGAAGAAAAATGAACAGTCGAGGACACGTCTCAGTCTCAGTCGTGTTCTCGATTGTTCATTTTTCTTTTACTTTGAGACTTTCCTCTTTTCCTGCCTCAGTCTCGGGCTAAGAACAAAATGGTGTACTTCATGTTACCACGAGGTATTGAATCATTATGAATCATTGGCGTCATGTTGGTGATGTTTGACAAGGTCATATCTCAAGCGACCGCAGCCTTTTATAGTCCAGTACTTTTTCTTCTGATATGGACCTCATCTACAGATTCTGTACTTTGCGGCAGCTCTAGCTCTTTCTGCTGTTGTCGGACTGTCTCCTGCTGACAGGCATTCGTAAGTGCTTCCATTGGGCCAGTGACAAGTGCAGTTGTAGTAGGTTTTTTTTAAACCATTCGGTTTTCCAGGCCGATACACAAGCAGTCTTTGATAAGTTCTTCTCTCATTTCACCGAAGTTGCCTGTATCGGCTAAAATGTGCCTTGGAAAGAAGTAGGCTTTGTAGTGCACTAGTGTGACTTCAATCTTCTTGGAGCTTTCGGGGTTTAGACTGTGTCTCAGCTGAGCCTAAGCGAAGGCTACCACACCAGCAAAGTAGAACGCAAAGTTGACACTCAGGCGCTTGTGCACCCCAGGCTTGTTGGGCTTTCTTTCACCCAGTCTCAGCTGAGAGGTCCATTAAAAAAAGCCGGCCCTGGACATAAGCTTACCGGCCATAAACTTGTCTGATGGTTGCTGAGGTTTTATGTGACTGTGAACTGGAATGACTGACCAGCAGATTCCAGTGATGTGATTGGCCTAAGCTGTTTTGGAGCACCTTTCGGAGCAGCCAAAACAGTGTTTTGGAGCAGCCAAAACAGTGTTTTGGAGCAGCTAAAACAGTGTTTCGGAGCAGCAAAACTGGCTTTTGGTGCAGACATTCTTAGGAAAATAAAAATATTTGTTTTAAGTGCTGGACAAACAAAAAACACTTTGCTCGCCGCAATAAACAAATTATAGTCAAGGTAAACCACCTGGGAGTCTTTCAACATGTAACTGAAATGCCAATGACATGACACATTTTGCAATGCTTCAGTTAAATTATACATATATATATATATACCCGCTATAGGTAAATAAAAACCAAACTGCACATATTAAAATTTATTTGAAAATGACCAACTTAGTAGTAAATATCACACCATTAGGTTGTCTAGTTATGCAATAAATAGAAGCAGTCTCTAACTGTTGATACACGTGACCACTGGAGTGCAGTGCAAAATTGTCGTGCGAGAGGAGATTGCTGTTCGATCGAAACCATGCCAGTCCAATCCCTCGCCAACTGGTTCCCAAAATTGTAAACAAAATGTAACTGTCCAGCATACAAAAAAAAAAAGTCCATTCGCACATGCTTGTTAGATTGGCTAGCGAGGTACAAGCTAAACACAGCAAAAAAAGAATTTGAGTGCATCAATGCAAGACATCACGAGCGAGGGTCAAGAAGTTCTTGAAGCGCTTGGTGTAACGACTGATCTTGAGAGAAACAAGCGTGTTGTCCGGGTTCAGAGTGCAGACATTGCCTTCTTTGCTTTCGCTCACTTCTCTTCACCAAGTCCCTTTCGCGGCAGATTTTTTACGTACCTGAGTCCCCCTCGAAAGAAAGCCTACCAAGAGAAACCTTGGTAATCAGTACTTCGACACAGCAGTCTTTGAGCTTGAGGGATTTTTCGAGCAGCATATTGAACAAGAACAGGAATGTTGATGAATATTAGGGCGGTCCTTATGTTTCAGTTTAGAAAGCGCCATATGTGTAGCGACGTGGGGACGGCAACACCCAACGTCGCGCGACCATGGCGACTGGCAAGCAGGGACCAAATATAGTTTTCCCACAGCCGTTGCTTTCAGGAGCAAGTGCTTCAGCTCACAATGTAACCCCCGCCACGCAAAAACGTGATTTCGTTTCACAACATGATGGCATGGATGGTACCCAGCACCCGAGCGTCGGGGCGTCTGCAGATGCCCGCCTCTATCGTCGAAAAAGTTTTAAAAAAAAGATGCGAGACGATGAGAGCGCAAAACGCGAGACTGTGGTAAAAACCCTGCAAGATCGGATGAACGATTGATGAAGGGTACTTTGGTGTCAGGCGGCCGCTTGCGCCACCTAGCTATGTGTGCCCATTATGGTACTCAATATAGTTTCGGTTTTGAAAGTCCTTCGGCGCAGGCTTGTTACAGATTACCCATATTTTTGTAAAATGTAGCAGGATGTAGCAGGGTTAGCCCCATGGTGCAGTTTGGCGCAATTGGCGCAGCAATCACACCACGGAGATTCCGTAATCTTCAGGTTTGTATTTATAGCTGTCATCAGGGTTTTCCCCAAAAATATTTGAGAGGTGGACATCGAAAGGGAGGGGGACTGAGAGGAAGGGGATCTAAAGCGCACTTAAAAACAATGCGCGGTATTTTCGCGCTTTCTTAGTCACACTGTGCCCCTGTAGCAAGGATGCCAAATGCAGGCATCAGTTTGATAAGCATGGTGCTGCGAGATTCGCTCGATGTGGATGCTCCCAAGCACTATACGCTTCAAAGACTGCATCTTTTTGTTTATCCACGGCAGAATATAGAGTTCGCTGCTACATTATATTTGGGCTAGTGGGCGGCAGACCCACCACCGCCCACTGTGGCGAAAACGAAACCCTGACTGTTATTAAACACGACGCTAGCTCAGAAATATTGGCTGGTGTCGCAGCAATCCTTTGCTGTGCTCCGTTTATCCTAAAGCTGACAGTGCAGTGTATGCTGCGCTCACACCGGACCAATTCATGGCCTGGCTTTTAACACTTGACCTCATTCTCCGCTCGTGAGTACGTGAAGGGAGGGGGGGAGGTGTGTTCATGAGGTGCAAGATCGACAGTTGACTGGTCCAATGGGTATGCAGCTTTCACCGCACTGTCAACCGGGAAGTAAACGGCGTATAGCGGTTGCAAGTGGTTGTAATGCAATGTAACAGAAATGTATAACCAGCCGTATGTTCCACAGAGAAGTCAGCTCTCTCTCTCGTATACCACTGTAGCGATGATTGAATACAATGTCTATTTAGCAGCTTATTAGATCTTCGCTCACTCCTCTGCAATTTTTACTTGCTATTGGTACACCTTTTTCAGAACATGCAAGTAGAAAGAACAAAAAGTGTTTTTACTCTATAGTTTGCATTATTCATCTTTTAGAAAATGGTTCACCAATTTTTGTCAGAAACTACGTATCACTGCACCTTTACTGCTCTGGAGAGATTGTTCTTCCCTGCTTGATATTTCGTGGTTTTGTTATCTGGAAATCACAATATAACAATATGTAGTAGCTGGTCAAACCAAGAAGGAAGTAATAAACTTATATAATGCATGTTAATAGGTCAAGTACTGTCCATTTTCACAAATATTTCGAGAAGTAAATAGACAAATACATAATGCCAGTCATTGGAGATTTCTTGACAGTTTGTGTTTGTGCCACTACTTGCTCTGACTTAGGACTTGCAACTTCCGCACATTTTTTTTAGAGGCTGCAGCGTCTTGGATAGCCTCATTTTGGTTCCGGCAGTAGTTAGCAAGGAAAGTGTTAGCTGACACACTCAAGATGTGCGTCATCACAACCTTGGGGTCATGTCCAAAGTCACACACATCCAGGTCATCATACTTGGTCAGCATCTCCCTAGTGACAGACATAAGCAGTCCCTTCTGGTTTCGAATTGCAAAGAACTGTGCTGCATTCTCCTTGTCTGTGAGCTTTTCCAGCACTAGCTGTGTGTGGAGCACGGCATTCACGACTACGGCTTGGGGAAATTTCAGCCCTCCCCGGGAGATTCCTTTGATGAGGCTTGCATCGTCGAGCTCAATGCTTCTTTCTTCCAGGGTGAGGTTTTCTTCGCAAGCATCGCAACCAAGTTTTTTTAGGACTGCATGGGCGCAGTAGCCTGCAATATAGGTAATCGCAGGCATCTGATCATGTTTGGCAGCGATGTCAGTAGCATCTACTGTGACGCTGAACTGGTTGCGTTCCTCCTGTGTCACCTCTTCGTGTGTTGCTTGTTCTTGTGCCCTGCCAAGTAACTCTGTGGCGGGCACCAGTGGTAGCATCTTTTGCAGCCTGATCTTCGTCTCCGACTCGTACAACTGGTGGATGGAAATGTGGTATTGTGTCCCAGCAAGCCTCCTGTACTTTCCAAATTTGGCTTCCAGAGAGTCTGTTTGAAACTTGCCGAGCAGAACATAGCTGAAACCAAGCTCCCTGAGGCAGTAGATGGACACCTTTACCAGGGTGGAGCAAGTCAGCCTGAGCGCTTTATGTGTCTCATTGGTCAGTCTCCCACTGTCTGTGTCCATTGCTTCCCAGGTGTCGAGCCACTGGACCATGCCACTGAGGAACTTGAGCTTCGGATCTGCCACAGAGCTGACAGGCTCCTGCACTGGATCTCGCAGCCTCTGCCCTTTCAAGGGGGTCTTCACATTCGCCACTTTCCACCACCTCACAATCAGCTCGATGAAGTCAGCCGTTTCCAGGACGTGCTGGATGCCGAGGTCGTGGCCAAGTGTCCTTAAAGCTTGCACGACGTGGTCATTGAAGATTTTCAAGACCAACCTCACATTTTGGCGCTCCAGACTTGATGGATGTAGCACCTTGGCACTGAGTCCGTAGACAAACTTAGCCAGTTGGTCAGTCTCGTGAAGTTGCAACTCCCTCAAGGCATCAAATGAAGCTTGTTGTTGTGATGTGGCAGGAGTCGCCGTTTCGATGCTTTCGAAGCTTGGAAATGCAAAGCACTTTCCAGGAGTTCCTTGGCTCAGCCAGTTGTTGCGAATGCATTTCAACAAGTGTACAGGGTCGACAATGAAAAAGAGGGGCCTGTCTGTGTCTGCTGGGTGGCTGTAGACCATATCGAATTTGGCCTGGGTGGCAAATTGTGACATCATCTTGCGGTTGATGGCATTATTGTCGGTTACGACGGCGATGATCTTGAATCCTAGTGCCTCTAGCCTTAGAATAATTTTCTTCACGAAGCAGTGCAGCTGTTGGGCATCTATCTGGCACACAGGGAGGACATGTACGACATCTTTGTTGGATGACAACAGGCTCTGTATCATGAACACATGTGCTGTTCGTGCTGCTTTGCATGAGTTGGCAGAGCTGCCTTGGACATTTCCTCCCTTATAATCGATGTAAGGTTTTAAGTGTACTTCATCCAACATGAGGGTGGCAACTTTTTCGTGATCCTCAAGGTGTTCACTTTCCTTTTTTATGTAAGACAGAAGCTGTTCATCGTCTTGCTCTGTTGAGGGGTTCAGCTGTTGGTTGGAACACAGTCTCCTGATGGTAGAGGGATGTGGCAGCATGATACGGGAGGTGCCCCTCATAAACTTGTACGCGTGCGGCGAAATGGTGTATATGAGGCTTGCAAAAATGAGAAAGTCTGGTGCATACTTGGGCTTTTTTCTCAGGAGCACATCTACCTGTTTGCATAAAAATGTCAGCGCGTCTGCGATGTCCTGAACTTCATTGTCATTCCTGAGGTCATCAAGTAACGACAGGATGAGTCCAAGAATGGCGTCCTTCTTCTTGCTGGTGCCAGATGATGTGGCCGACTTGTCGAATGCTCTGATGTTGTCGAGCAGGTCAACCAGCGTCTTCAGACTGGTAATGGTGGTCGGTATCCAAAAGTCGCCTGAAAGCTTGGTTGTCTTCGTGCTGTAACAGTATACTGATACAGTTAAGTCAGGCTTCACAGTAACGGAGTACTTCAGCTGTGGGGCGTTGTTGGGGTCTTGGTTGATGTTCAGGAATGTAACACCTTGGTCGTTTTGAATGCAGTTCCAGAAGGGAGTAGCATTGATGTCTTGGATTTGGTCTATGAGTTGGTCAAATGAGATATCATTTTCCTCATTGGGTTCTCTTGGTCTCTTTTCAGGTGGCTCTGCCAGTGGTGGTTCTTGGGGCAGTGAAGAGGTGCTGCAGGCAAATATTGTCGGCACAGCATTGTTGGAAAGTCTCGGTCTATCGAGACGGGCTTGGAGGACTGCTCCGGTTCTGGGGTCTGTGTACTGTGTTGACGTGATCAGGAATCTGTCTTCAAAGTGTGCTGCACACACCTACAATAAAGAAAGTATGACTGTTTCATGTGACTGCTGTTATCTGGTAGCCAAAGCAGCTGTAGAATTTGGTGAAGAATATGAAATAATTTTGTAGTGATTGTAGTGAGGCATTTGACTGTTTCATTGCCTGTTACAAAAAAAATGTCTCCACTTTTTTTCTTTTTTTGACAATAAACTTTCTGGCATTATTGAATTTTAGATAGTTGTTCTTGATTTACGGTTAGCTTTTTATAACGCATGTTCGCCACTGAAGGCATGAATATATTTCCTCAATCCAAACTGACCCTTTAGCGAAGGAAGCTAGTAGATTGTCCTTCAAATGATGTAAAAGCATAGGTGAGTGCCATATATTTGCACTACATTTCAAGTAGTGCAAGAAAGAGTGAATAAGGAGAGTTGTACATATAAAACAAAATTAAGTAATCGAGGTGCTTATATATATTATTTCCATCTTGAATGCTGGTGTGTCAAAGCTACATTTGTTTTTACTGTACTGGAGTGCTCTGTCAATGCTCTGTGCACTGTATGTTAGTTAAGCAGAGAAGTTTATATTGCTGGTGGCCCACATCATTCAGCATATTCCGTACACCGTAAATTACGGGCTTAAGTTGAGCTTATTGGTAAATTATACTATAATTATAAATAATATATGCCTAATAATAAATATAATGTAAGTCTGTCCCCTTTTCTCCCATTTTTTCCTCTTTTTTTTTTTCTTGTTCCATAAGTTCATCTAACCATGCGTCAATCGAACCTGGCCGAACCTGGCACCTTAGTTGGGGTTCCAGATGGGCTCCTCGGGCAGCGACAACTCTAACTAGCAGTTTTGATATTCTCTCTCATCAAATATTCAGCTTTTAATTTCACAGATTACTAAAGTCACGTGGAATATAATACTTCAGTGTTTTTCTTGGGGTAGAGAGGAGTGCATGACTACAAAGGAACTATAAAAGAGGTGAAGGTGTTCTCCAGTGATTGTGCACTGTTGGGACTACCCCTGAGGAATGAGCCTGTAGCGTAGAAAAGTGCCTGCACTGTATGAACGCACGTGCGAGACCGGAATGCGCAGAGCGTTGGGCTGGTTGGGCACGCGTCTCTAGCTTTTTCTTAATTCGCTCGCACGGGACACCGTTCAAAACAAGAAAAACACGATCAAAACATCAGGACTACGCTTCGATTTAGTGGAGTCCGTATTTCGAACGTTGCCGGCACGCAACATCGAAACAGCTGCCCGGTACGACCCATTCACAGGGCAGCATTTTCTTACGCTACGTTACGAATGCAAGTCTCCTCGACTTCGACATTCGTGCTGCATATGTGCCGTGCGCGAAGTTACACTGAACCGGTTGTCATATGAGCCATTAAGCACGGAATATGCAATTCCTGTACCGTGGTGCTCTGAAAAGGTTGCGAAATTACATATCGTACCCCGCGTCAATTTTTCTGTGCGACGTTGAAACTTTCTGATCGGCTCGCAGCTCGACTGTACGATCAGCATCACGCCGACGATGTCGTCAGGAACTCGGCGCTGCAGCACTGCGGAAGCTACACTTTCTTCGTGAACGGTGGGTATAGTAAGCCCAAATTGCGACACAACGGCAGTTTGCAGATGTACCTGCCGAGTTCGCGAGTGCGCTCTTACGTCGATAGACAAGAGAAAAAAAAAACAAAAAAAAAACTCTTCAATAAAACAAACTGCACTACGTGCATTTCCTCGCCCGTCCTTATCGAGATCCCATCTCGTGTCGAATACGAAAAGAAGTTTCTATCAGTGTAACCTCGTAGTTCTTTAACTAAAGAGGCACAAGAGCCAATGCTTGAATGTACTACGTGCGCACCTTTGAGCATTCGGACACTACACTCTCCTTTGGCAGTGCTTGCAGCCACTGCTGCCTTCGGGTTTCATCGGTCGGGAACGAAAAAACTGGCACTGAACTATAAGACTTGTGCTTATTTCCTTGGCAATTTTTCACGCAGCAGTGAAACGGCATTTCATCCGATTTTTTCGACCTTCGCGGGTCGAGCGTCTGACGATACAGCGGCAGTGCTGTCAACCGCTCTAGCAGACGATGTAGCAGACGACGGCGCTCATCCGGGCTACCTAGGGGGCGCTCGGGGGATCTACTAGTGATGACGTTTAGAGGAGGAAACGCGCAGGCCTTGTGTTCTAGGTGGTATTGTGTCAGACCACACACGGTCCCTGGATGACACCGGTAGCGTTGTTGACAGTTCTGAAGATGAGCTCTAAAGCCGCGTGCACCGCGCACGGCTCCACAATATCAGAAAGTTCAATCTTCGCCTCGATTTCAAAGCGAAGATTTTGGCCTCAAATAACTCCTTCCCAAATTTGTGAAACATCACTTGGTCGTCACCAAGAACTTCCACAATCAACAATCTTCCGGCGAGAAAGTTCGGGGCATTTACAGCCCGCCTAGGTACAATTCCGTACGATCCATTCTAACGCGGTGTAGGGATGTAGGGACACGCGGGAGCGACGTCGTCAGTGCAGCCGTTCAATCGCCTGGCCCCACGGTGTTGCTCGCCCGCGCCCCAATGAAGCTCGCTACAACTTTGTGTTTCACATTCTCGCAGGAATTTGAGCACCCAGAAAGCTTGGATGGTTGATATCTCGTCCCGCGTGACGCCATCATCGTGACAGTCCAATGAGCACGCTCCGCGAAGCTCGGCCCCAACTTTTTGCTCCAGGAGTTTAGCGACCTTGGTCAAGAGAACGCTCGCGGTATATAAAAGCTTCGTTTGATACAGATGCACCTCCTCCACCGGTGCAGAAAAGTGTAGGGCGGTGTACTTCATGTAAGCAATTTGCCGAGTGACGAGACAAGTGACAGCAACGAGGACTCGCTGTCGCTCAGTCAGCCGCGTGACGAGGCACACCTTATAAAAGCGACTGCTGCAAGCGACCAAGGCGATGAGCGACGTTTTCTAGATACCCATAAACCTGGCGCCGCAAGCAGCGACAGTAAGAAATCTTCGTCGCTCGTCGCCGGCACTTATAGCTTGTCGCCGTCGCTAGTGTTGTTGATCACTATTGGCGACGTGCGCGATCAAAAGCGTCGCTGTGATCGGCCTTCCACGATTGGCCGAATGGTCACTATGACGTCAGCAAAGGTTTTCTCATTGAAAGAAATAAGATCAATGTAAGAACTTCAATTTTGACGGGGTTGGCAGTGTTGCTTTCAGAGCGCAATGATCTCAAGCTTCCACCATGCTAATTATAAACACCGTCGAACTTGTTGTTCGTAAGGTAATGACGTCACGAGAGGAAACCATAGGAGGGCGCCACCAAAACATCTCGCCGCTAATATTGCTTACATCCGTGCAGATAGGCGTTCTAAGTGCTTGCCGTTGTATTGGGATCAGCCTTGCATAAACCACAACCAGTTTTTTTTATAAATTGTTTTTAAGCATGGCTCCTCGTTGATTAGCACGATTTACATTTTCGGTAAATAAAAGCCGTGATTAGGCACAGTTGTTCCAGCTCAAAAGTGCCACAAACACTTGGCACATATGTTTACACTGAAGCGCACTTAACATAATTTAAAAGTAAAACGAAAAGGGGACGAGATTCGCTTACCGCTTCACGGAAAGACCGACACCTTCGGATCCTAGGCCTGACGGCCGAACTTCGAAGTCGTCGGCGGTCCGGCGATCGGACGAGGCGAGTCAGCCGCGCTGCGCCTACCCTGGCCGACCACACCTGGTTGAACTAAGAGGGGCGCCGTCGAGTTGAGAACCAGAGTCGCAGAAGAAACGGGCCGCCCAGCATCTGTCCCGAACGTAGAACGAGCCGACGACCCTCATGCCACTACGTCTCCGCCATCTCCGCGACGGCGGGAAGTGGGGAAGCCGGGCCGGGCAGCGAAAGCGGAAGTCACTGGTCGGAAGATTCACGTTTCGCTTTTAGCCGACGCCGGTTTCGGTTACGGGGTCGTGGGGTTGCGGCTGGTTGCGACGACGAGAGGGGCCACGAAAGGACGCCGAGTTGGCCGAGTACGAGTCACGGTACGAGCAACGGGCCGTTTGCTGCTGTCGACCGGTGATGCGGTATCCTCGGCTTGGTGTCACGATTGGTTTGTTGCCGAGCACGTTGGCTTTGCTATGCGGTACGGCTGGAGCGGTTGTCGAATTCTTGAGGTGCACATTATTCGAGACAGTCGTCCCAAGACGTCACCGTGAAGAATTGACCGAGGGATTCCTGTGAGCTCAACATCTCTCATGTTCCGTTTCGACATGTATGGTATATGTAACGTTACCGGTGGTAAACGATGGACGTTTTTTGGTAGACGATGCTCGGCCTTTCGGCATGTATAATTTGGTGATACCGGTGGTCCTGTGGTATACGCGTTTTGTTGGGAAGATGGCGGTCACCTACGTCATCGGACGCAAAATTATACCAGCCACACCGAATCATATCGGCAAGCAAACTGGCTGCCAGTATAGACAGACGCGGAGTCAAAGCGGTGCCGGTATCTCCAGTTAAGAAAGAACGCCAAACAAAACTAGCTACATCCATAATAACAACAATTTAATGTGATGTCAAATCAGAAATGTACGAGCAGCAGTTATGTTTTTTGTACGTTATTTCAATAGGGATGTTTGCGAGCTCATAATTTTCGGAGCCTTTAATATTGTCACGAATGACAATTGATGAGGCGTTGATAACTGAAGAAAACTAAACGTTTAATGGGGCGAACTTGTGCCCAAATAAAGAGAACACAAAGAAGAAGAACAGAGCGTCGCGGGCGTCGAAGTTGGCGTAACAGTAGGTTCGAGCGCTAGGGCGAGACTGAGTCCGGTTCGCCACGCGGAGCCCCTTATGTACATGCGTGAGCTTCTGGAATAATCGGCATAGAATGTTCGACGCGTAGAACATTCGGACTTCGAACATGCAACAGGATTCTCGAATCTATACTTCGTTTTACCTCATGTTGCACCGCAGCGAAGGCTAGAAACGCGAGCTCATAGCGTTGGCAGCCGCTCTTAAGTCACGAGAGCTTGTGCCGCCGAGATGTGCACCAGAGCAAGGAGCTCGCGCTTGTAGCCTTTCCTGCGGTACATCATAAGGTGAAAGAGAGAATACCAGAATACTAGTCTGCAGGAATAAACAAAAAGATGCGCCGCTTCTAGGAATCGAACCCTAGCTTTTCGCGTGAGAGCCAAGTACGATAATCGTTAGGCCAAGCGCGCGCTGCCTACTTGGCCAGCTGCGCGCGCGGCATTACTCCCTTTAAAAAGTGCATCGCCCCGAGGCAACGCAAAACAAAACAAAATAAAAAAAGAACGATAAAATAAAAGAGTCCTTTGGAGCACATAAGGTCCACAGTCCTATCGAGCGTAATACGGCTTCAGTCGCACGACGTGGACGACCTCAGGTCGTGGTGGGCGGCGTGACGATGCTTGTGTTCCGTCGGGCATCACCTCGTAGTTCAGCTCGCCGAGGCGACGAAGTACCTTGTATGGTCCAGAGTACCGCTGCAGCAGTTTCTGACTGAGGCCGCGGCGACGGATGGGCGTCCACACCCACGCTGGAAGTGAACGTCCCTGCGACGAAGGTTGTAGCGCCCAGCGTCGACGCGTTGCTGATCTTGAATCATGAGGCGGGCGAGCTGGCGGACTTTTTCGGCGCGTTGAGCAACCGCCTGGGCGTCGTCGCTCCCATTGTCAGATGGCTCATGGGGCAGCATTGCGTCCAGGATGGTCGTTACCTTCCGACCATGTACCAAGTTTCTAATTGAAAAATTAAGTTCATTTCCATTAATTAAGAAGCTAATTAACAAATTAGATTTAATTATCAGACTGATCGTTACGATTAGGCCCCTATACTAGATGGCCCTGGCCGCATGACTCACCTGCACAAACCGCATAAGTGCAGATTTCAAGACATTTTTAAACAAATATGTAAAGCTTAAAAAAATTGTCCTCTATAACAATAAAAAGGCGATATATCAGCATAATAGAGCCTTTCGGCTCTACCATGCTGATATCGCCTTTTCGCTGAGATAGGACGTCCCATATTACGTTATGCTTGTACGGTTCCGTGCGCGTATATGGTTCCGTAGTAATCCACTCCGCTGTTATAGGATGTCGCATATTATGGCACGCTTGTGTGCTTTCGACCCCCTGTATCGTTTCGCCCTTATCCACTATGCTGTAGGCGCCTTTCGCTTGTATAGGGTGTCCCATATTACGGCTACGCTTGTATGAGACTTTTTCTATCATCTTTCCGTCATCGAGATTTTCCACTTGGGTATCCTGGTGACTCGCGGTCGTATCTCGACTCCTTGACATGGTCTCAATGGTAAGGGCTCCATTGTCAGGGTTGTCGGCTTTTCGCCGTACCGTGGCTTGCCTGAGTCATTAAACATGTTCGCTACACGACACAAAAAGCACGATTGTCTCGAAAACTGGCCATTGCACTTTAAAGGGGGATGTCGAAACGTAGGGAAATGCAGTTGTTAAAAGTACGGGGTGATATCTGTATTAGGACCACGATGTTCATGTGCACCATTGAGTGTTTGAACACAACACCGCCCTTCCGAAGGGCTTGCAATTACTGTTGCCTACGTATGTTGAATCATCAAGAAGGAAAAAGAAAGTGAAAGCCGTTTACAACTCCCTGTAACGCCGAATTAGAGCGCAGCTCATGAGGAGGGAAGGGTACTGGGGGGGTCAAGTGACCTTGGGGGGGAGAGTCACGTGACCTAGGGGGGTCACGTACGATGCCGATGCCAATGACGTCATCAGTAACGATGACGATGCGGATACCGATGACATCATCAGTGACGTCACTGATGACGTCATCAGTGATGATGACCATGCGGATGCCGGTGACGTCATCAGTGACGTCACTGATGACGTCATCAGTGATGATGCCGATGACGATGCGGATGCCGATGACGTCATCAGTGACGTCACTGATGACGTCATCGGTGATGATGACGATGACGATGCGAATACCGATGACGTCATCAGCGACGTCACTGATGACGTCATCATTGATGACGACGATGACGATGCGGATGCCGGTGACGTCATCAGTGACGTCACTAATGACGTCATCAGTGATGATGGCGTCATCGTCATCAGTGATGGTGACGATGACGATGCGGATGCCGGTGACGTCATCAGTGACGTCACTGATAACGTCATCGGGGGGTCACGTGGCCCCGGGGGGTCACGTGACCTTGGGGTGACCTGGGGGGTCACGTGACCTTGGACCTTGGTTACGCCGACGCCGCTCAAGCCGGGAACGGGCCCCTAAGAGCTGCGCTCAAAACTATTATTACGCTATGAGACCTGTGCTCAATTGCTTGCAGCCCTTCGCACAGCAGTGGCTAGGCTTGTTCGCTCCTGCATTTAACGCTTCACGTGAACGTCGAATTTAATCTTAAACGCAGACGATGTAGCAGGCGATGGCACTCATCCGGGCTACTTGGGAGTCTCTGGGTAAGTCCACTAGTGATGAGGTAAAAGAGGAAATGCGCAGGAATTGTCCCCTAGGTGACATTCCATAGGACAGGTCGAAAATTGCTGAACAATGACCTCACAAGCGGGCATTGCCTACTATAGTTCTATTCACCTCAAGAACCGTAGTGGAAACAGTCGTTCTCCTCGCGGGTGAATGCTCATTTCTCCTTTCTGTAGAAAATAGAACTATAGGTGGGTGTATTTCGGTTAGACTGTCTGTTATCATGTCAAGACGAACGCGTCTTAGACGCCATGAGCACCGTTTCTTATTACTACCAAAGCTTCTAAGAACTACTTTCCGCAGTGTAGGAACAATGTGCAAAACATACTTTTCTCTTAAGGCTACAACACATACATATGTAATTGACTCAGCTCGAATAGAACACGAGTACCACGTCGGCGTTCGGCGAGCATTCCAAGTCAAATTATCACATCCTTCATGTTAAAGTAATGTTTATGGCCAATGTTGCGGGGTGGGGTTTTGAAAAGTGTCTATTCTTGAGCGACGGAGCCTGTAAAGGAGTTCGGGACGCCACCCCTGGGCCGATGAAAAACGATTGACATTGTACGGGAAAAAAACATTTAATGCATCGTGTGCGCCGAGAAATTAAAGGAGAAGAGGGTACGAGTGCGAACGGGACATCAGAACGCCGATTTCTGGTTGGAATGGTTGTTGGGCAGATGAAAAACTAACTGCCTTTCTATTGACTGTACTTGTCGAACGCGTTCGAATGCAAGAGCTAATCGCCGGACGCCAGCGTTCTGCGTTCTAACGCGTTCGACGAGTGTAGTGGAGACAAAAACAGCTCGACTTGGGTCAACCCGGGAGTCATTCCGACCAGAGCTCAGAGTTCTGAAGCCCCGTGCGCTCTCGACTCCTCCTCTCTCTTATTTTCTCGGTGCATTCTTTGAATCTGGGGCGACGCGGCGTCCTTCAGGCTTTGGTCCATACAACGTCTTTGATAGCCTTCAGCCGCCTGAATTTTCCGTCACCACACAGGTTGGCGAAGTCGTCGTACTCCAAGTCGAAGGCGGCAATCCCTGATCCGCTGGCTTCCAGGTACTTTTGGTAGAACGTCTCTGCCTGAAAGGACCACAAATCCTGATGGTGTGATATCTACTTCAATCAGTGGTGCCTGCAGGAACGCGTGTACAACATGTATGTTCAGCATCCTATTCCGGCGTGCAACGAAAGTGGTCACGAAGTGGCTATAAAGGACGTCACCGAATGCGAAGTATCATGCTGTCGGATGTCGCGATCCTGGAGGTTCCACGTAGAAGTCTCGCAAAAAAGCGCGAGGGAACGCGAGTGTCGTTGTCGTCGTGGTGCCTCAGTTCGTGGCTGCCTAAGCCTCCACAAACTGTGAAGCAATAGAGGCAACTGCACCAGAACTGCCGTCTTTTACATCCACCACAGCTGTTGTAAAATCGCCAAGATCGCGGCCAGCGACAGCGCGACACTTCTATGACGGCACCAGGAAGAATAAAATATACAAGGGGTGGTTTCTTCAAATCGAACACGCTTGTCGGGGTGGGTCTTTAGATTAAAATATATATATGTAATTGCGGCATTCCTGGAAAGAACAAAACCGATTTTCAAAATTGTTTAAAAAAATATTTCGCTTCAGAAAAATTATTGAGTGAAGCAGGGTGAAAATCTGCTTTTTCCTCCGTGATTTTTCTACTCAGTTCTGTACGCTGGCATGAATACGGGAAGCATGCAAAACTCACAGTAATGTTTAGTGCTCTTTTATGTTATTTTGAATATTTTTTAGTTTAAAGAAAAATACTTTTGTATTTTTGTTTATTGAGGTAAAAAATGTTAAACATCGTCTCTTTGAAAATCTGGTGACATATTCAGAGCCTCGTAACTCATGAGTTACTATATTTATCGCTTACCAAATACTCTGCGGGTGTAACCCTGTACATGGGCCATCGATGCGCATAAGTTTTGTTTATTTTATTCTCACTGAATGTTTTATATAAAATTTGAAATATCGTCGAAAATGAAATTAACTGATATTTTGAACACACTTTACCGAAAAAGGCCATTTTTTTACTTCGTTCAGTTTTTGGTCAGGTCGGAGAGCCATCCGATAGCGAATTAAAGGATATAATCAATCAATCAGTCAATTCCAAATGGAATGAATCACACTTGAACTCTATATTCGACGGCGCACCGGGCAGGATTTACCTTCATCTTGAACAGCTGATGATCGTCATACATGATAAGGAAGTGAAGCGTGGAGTTTTCCTTGCGCTTAGACATTTCCACATCTGTGTTCATCTCTGGCCCGATGTCCTTGACGCACGCCTGCAAAGTGTGAAGCCGCATCAGGAGACCCCCCGCGCATGTGAAACACGTACCACAAACTAAGAAAAAAATATTAGTGTTGATCGAATGTTGAAATTTAACTCAGATATAATTCGCATCCATTGATGCCGAATAGTGGCGAGAAAGTAAAAAAAATTGAAACGAATACGAATAAAAAAGTTTTAATCACAATGATTACAAGCCGAAAAACGGGCATGAGGTTCTAGGGTGTTCCGCTGCAGGTTACGTCGAAATGCATAACGTCGTTTGCCTTTTATAAACCTATAATTCCGCCAATTAACTTGCCACAAGTCCTGTAGCAACCAACAAAACATCAAAGACATATAAAGACAAAGAAGAGGAGTTAAATGGTGGTCAGTAAAAACAGTCATACTTTGCACGTCACCTCCTATATTTCAACCATTTCGACTTCAGACAACCTTCTCTTCTCGTCAGCCGTTGTGAAGACTACGGCACTTTCAGTGAACGCCTCGTGCCGCGACCTACGCATGTGTGTGATGCAGAAAAGCGTACCGCACACATTAACAACATTTTTTTTTTTTTTCGGGTTAGTGGTAAAATGTTGCGCTCAAAGTTTTGGAGTCCTGGGTTAAACTATCCCTGGAGACGTTCCGAATCGGGTTACTTTTGTTAAACTTATCCTTTTACGCACTCCCCTCTTATCTGCAAGCTTTTTGTGTTACAAATAAAAAGTCACCGGAGGAGGATGTACAACGAAATGCTATCGCATTTCGTATAGCATATTCAAAAAGACGCATTCTATGACGTGCTCCGCCTTGTAGCCCTGGCACCTCACTCGTCGCTGAGGGGAGCAATGCGTTAGCGAAAGGGGTGTTTCAGTTATCTCAGCAATTTGTATTTTTTAAAAGTTTATCATATTAGGAACGTAACAACTGAAAATATATTTATAGAGTGTTGAGCTCGATAGAGCCTGAAAGTAAAGATATATTCTCGAATTGAAAACGGCGACATGCGTGGATTACGGTATTTCAGGAGTCTTTCATCAAACGATATTAGAATTTCGTGAAGGTAACCGCTACTTTTAAGTCTGCTCCATGGCCAACTTTCTGCGGCATCACGATCTTGCTCTAACGTTTTACGCCACGTGTCGTATCAATATTGAGCGATATTTGAAGGCGCGAGTTTCCTCCTATGTGAACCTTATCTTAAGTACTTCGTTTCGAGTGCGCCAATTTTTTTTTTTATTATTTTCTTACGTTTGGTTTGTCTTACATAAAAATGCGGCTTCACGCATCGCAATTATTTAAGAGTATAAATAAGTTTTCTGAAATCGTAAACAGCGCTTTGGTTCGTTTGAAAGTGAAGTAGGTAAAATAAAAGGTAGGTTGGACGTTTTTTTCTTTTGGAATCAGGTGATATATTTAGAGGAAAAAATATAAACTTTATACTATACTTCGTCCATCGTTAAGATAACAGGGTGCTACACGCGACGTTAACATACCCTAAAGCCCCTCGAACTTGTTTTTGATTTAGGAACGTCTTCATGTTCCGCTTAAGAGCTCTGTATACTCCAATGTCGAGTAGAGTAGCGCAGTCTCGCGTAGCTAACACAGCAACTGATTGGTCTCAGACATCAGGTTCCTAGTCCGGGCCTTAGAAGCCCCACGTTGTACACTACTCATCCTTCGCAGCAAACGTACCGTACTCCAACATTGAGTAGAGTACTTAATGTCGGACTATAACTGAGTCAATAAAAACTCGATATCGCTCTACTTCACTAATTGACGCCCAGCAAAGAAGGCGTGTTAATCTGGAAGTAACAGTCATAATTGATTTTAAAAAGCGCTGCCAAGGGGACAAATACAAACCTGAAAAAATGAAATAAGGACAAGAACACAAGAAGCGCAAAATAACGAGCTGTTTATTTCCTTCCATATCATAAGGGGAAAAAACAACTTGAGGGGATAAAGAACGAGGGGGGAATAAATAACCGGATGAAAAGGAAAAAAAAAAACATAAACATATAGATGAGCGGTTACTACCATGACTACGCTTGATTCGTCGCTGCGACAGAGCTATGAACACGGGCGTAAATGCCCGTCATGATGCGGCAAGGTGTTGAGCAGTTCCATTTTTTGGAGCGAAAAGATATTGACAGTTCACTTCCACACTTTCCATCCCTTCCTGACACCATGAAATAAGCTTCCATTTTATCGCCTTCTGTTTTTCCTCCGATTTGGCATGATTGTAGCCGTTCCGAACTGTGCCTTGAAATTTCACTTTGAGCGATGTGCAGCTAGGTTGTTTGGAGCCTAGAGCAGATCACACGCGAACTTGTGCCTCCTCAACTTATTGTTGAGTCATCTTCCCGTCTGCCCAATGTAGCATTTGCCACAGGAAAAAAGGTATCTTGTACACTACATATTCAGCACACTCATCAAACTTATTATTGTCTGGAACATGGCACGTACGTAGCTTGTCCTCGATTGTCCACATTCCTCGATTGTTATCAGCCCCAAAGGGGCTGAAACTTCGTTTTTACTCGGTATCTTCTTTAGCCAATGCAATAATGCCGCCCGCAGGGCCGAGAAAGCAACGCTCGGTCACAGACTTTCAGAAGATTCGCGTTCATTCTCGCACCAGGCGTAACTTTTCCCCTGCTTCCTTGTTCTCGAAAGTGCCAGTTCATCCTCGCCCCGAGCGAGCGACGCTCGATCCTTCTTTGCCAAACTTTCGAGATGATGACTCACTGTAGATAAGCAACTACCCGCGACCTTGTCGAGTCAGTCTCGCTATCGCTCTTTGTTACGCTGCCGAATAGCCGCCTGCTTTTCTGCAGCCTCGACGCTCGTTTTTTTTTTTTCGTTTGGCACAAGTTCGCTAATAAAACCTTTATTTTTGAGTTCACTGCTCGTCATTTCGTCACCTTTATTCATGACAATATCTTTTGAATGCATGGCGGCACAACTGTTGCTTTTTTGGCACTTTTGTTTAAACTTGGACTTGGCATTGCTTCTTATTTTTTTTTAGTATGACATGACATTAAACGTTTCTGACTAAGTGCGGCTTCATAAAATAAGAATTTAACCCTCTGTGATTCGTTAAAGGTAACTGCACTTACCTCTCTTCGACACGAGGCCCGGTAAAAGGACCTACTGGCTATACAGCTATATATTTGGGGATCCGCTTGTTTCCACACAATACTCTTTAGATACACCCGCAGTCCAGAGCATAAACAGCTAGCTTTTAAAACGTGTGTAAATGCAAGCATTTTAGTCTGCCTGTTCTAGACAAAGAATGTACAAGAATGCTCGTCAAACAAAAATTATTATAGAAAACGAAGGTTACGTATGACTTCCTTATTGTACGTTGTTCGTTGCCCACTCTGAGACAGATAATAGAGCTAACGCTTTGAGAACCAAAAAATGTTTCGGTTTTAGGTGTTTCAGGTCAAACGTCTAACCTACTTTTACTTTGTAATAATCGTGAATGTTGCCCAGCACCTAAACCATATGTTATACTTTCCTCCTCATGTGCACTCCTTCTGGATGAAAGCCAAAGAAGGACAGGGTACTAATATCGCAATTCAGAAACAAAGAGCTCAACGGCTTGATGACCAAGGCAATTTTACTGAATAAGAATAAAAAAATATCGCTCATGTTGTAAACTATTTTTATGAGCGGAATACACATTGAGCAAACATTGAATTATAAATACAAATATATCTAGTATGTCGAAGATAAACAACTGGTGAAATAATATGCATACCTTTTAAATCTAGGGTAAACATTTCAGTTATTAATATATACCAAACCGCTGGGCTTACGGTCCCCCCCCCCCCCCCCCCCCCTTGGCAGGTGGTATTGTGCGGTGGGTGTATATTATAAATTCTTGAACCACTTGACCCCAAAACATGTTTAGTTTATCATAGAAATCCAACAGTTAATTTTTGTCATGAAAATTAACTTGATCGTCAAGCCTGGCAAAATATTGCGATGTTAGCGATACATCGCAAATGTACTTCACCACTGAAATACAAATACATTTTTTGAGAATCTGAATACATAGCTCCGGATACTCGAAAGAAACTTAAAATTACAATCGCCATAAATTTGCATCGCGATACTGCCCAGCCCTTTCAAAATCAAACTAAAAAACAGATAAAATTCTTTAATGTAAGGCCTTTCCTATCGCTATATCATTCACTGAACGTTGTCCTCACAAGCATCACTACTCTTAGTGCCTGTTTTATATATATGTAAGCTCGTATAATAAGATTCATGTCCGTTAAAATGTATATTGTGTTTAGTGTCCTTCGTCGTATGCGTTGCATATTATTAGCATTTGTTACATCATTCTTATTTGATTTTTTTCATGTTTGAACATGCCAAAATTTCTATGCGCGTTGACGTGTGCCAGGCGAGTTTTCTGAGTTCCGATTTTTGTGTGATGTCAGTTTTTAGCTAAACACTACATTTCAAAATGAAGAAGATGCATTCATGCACCTCATAACATTATTTTAATTTTCACTCTAAGTTTATTATCTTTATTTAATAATTGCTTACTTAGGATTATTTATTTTGTTCTTTCTCATTGATATATATTTATTTATTTTTCGGCCCTTGAGAAAGCACAGATCCCTGATCCGGCCCTTGGGCAAAACGTTTACATAAACCTGATTTATATCAATCGAACTAGGACACCGTCCTTCCCATTGTTACCTTCGCATAGAGCACGGCCAACCAGTCAACTACTGGGCTTTCGATATTTACCTCTCTTTTGGTCGTGACACACTATCCTATCTGGACAAAACACTTCTATATCCTAGCGGCCTAGCCAATACCCAACAACGACTTCATGAATCAACTGTCTTCAGCCACAGAAGCCTCCCGCCAACTTGCACGTTCCCGAACGGCAGCACATCACGATGCCTCAAAACGTCGCTACGCAGGCCAAGACAACACTCAGTATTTTTTTTATATGACCTTGTTTTAATCTGCTTTCGTTCCGTCAAGTCG